TGTGGGAATTATAGGAGCTACAATTCAAGATGAAATTTGGGTGAGGACACAGCTAAACCGTATAAACACTCAATACAATAAACACCATTCATATGGGGCTGAAGATTTTTTTAGAAACCATGATTGCAGAGTCTGCTATAAGTTGGAGATTTTAATTTACTCCACTGGTTTACAGCATCAGAAAATCCAATATTGCATGAGGCTTAGTAGATCAGAACTGCATTAGGCCATGCTTGTAAAGGGAATGCACATTTTACTGTTAATGAACTCTAAATCACAATTTGTCTTATCTTCGTCAAGGAAATCCAGCAGAAGGCCTAATAAAAAATACTGTTGAACAAGTGAAAGATATTGTCACCCTGAAGATTAGAGGGCAAGCACACATCCCTGAAAGAAATACTCTAGAATCCTGAAAAAAAAGTATGTTGAAATTGGTATCCACAACGTGATGCTAAAAAGTAACCCCTCATGAAACAGTGGATGGAGGCCATAACAGAAGATAAATTTTATTGGAGAACCATGGGATGAGATAAAAAGGGAAATACATAAGGACTTCAAGTAAACTACAAGCATAATAGCAGAATTAAACTTCACTGTAGAGATCACATTAGATAAAGACAGTGGTAAGTTCTCCCACAGGAAAATCAAAAAAGAAATCAAAATGTTGTGAAAGAAGATAATAGATATAGACAACAGAGAGTGGAAACCCAAAATAAGCTGTACTCCTGAAAAAGAGGACAAAATAAATGGAACAAAAATAGTAATCACATTAATATATGGAAATTTTGTGGAGCTGAAAACATGCCTTGTATGCAGATGGCAAGCGCCTGTTCTACCCCAATTAAAGAAGACATCTATGCCTAAATAAATATTAAGAAAACTACTAACTTAGATAAATAAACATCTTACAAATGTCTAGATACAAATGACAAAAAAGAAAACAACCAAATAATGCATGAACAAAAATAAGGCTGATAATAGTCTTCTATTGTAACCCTGAAAATCAGAAGACAATGGAACAATGTCTGCTGAGCATTCAGAGCCTTTCACAAATGAATAAGAGAGAAAGATACCTTCAGGTATTCACACTGTAAAATTTACTGAAACATATCCAAAACGATTAAGGTATGAGTAAAAATAGACAGCTGAAGCATGGGAAAATCATGGTTAAATGGCTAACCTTTTTAGGTCTGGAAATGAAGAAGTCAGGTGTCTAAATAGTTGTATTTTTTGTTATCTCAAATGTAAATTGAGAGGATATTTTGAAAGAGATGTAATAGAAAATAGCAATTTGGAAAATTTACTCTGCATTAAAACCCAAGACTGATTACACTAAATGGCATTTATTGGATTATATGGAAGAAACACTGTTAGAGACAAAGAATAGTAAATGCAAACTCCATTAATTCAGCTTAACACAACTTAACCCATCTCTCAGATTTTGATAACTCAGGAAGAAAAAGAAAAACAGGGATACAGGGAATGTAAATGATTCAAAAAATAAAGTATATTTAATTAATTTCTAATAAAACTTGTACCTCTTGAGACTTTGTTGTTTTTTCTAATATCTCTGAATCTTTAGAAATTGATGAAGGAAATGGAAAAACAACAATAACAAAACTCCCAAGTAACAATCCTACAGTCTGCATTCTCTTACCACATTGCAATTGAAGACTTTTAAATAAATATTTAGTAAAAGAAGAAACTTGAAAATTAACAACAACAGTAGCAGCAGCATTACAGTCCTGGTTTGTTAGGGCTTTTGTCTTATTCTTTTTTTTCCCCTCAGGGAAAGCACAAAAAGAGGTTTCTTAAGCTTATCTACAAGGTGTCCATTTTGGGACCAAAAATGATGTAGTTCAAAATTCACTCCTCCTCGTAACACAGTATTTTCAGCACTCTCCAAACACACTTTAAAAAACACCCAAGTAAAAAGGTAGAATTTGGAGGGAAGGAGTAGGGATGATTGGAGACACATTATCAGAGAGGAGGAAAAATCAGCGTTATACCATTTATCTTTGTTCTAGAGAGTATCTTCCCATTTTTTTTCCTGGTATTTTATGGTCTTTAGTGTCTGCCTGTTCTTAGTTTGCTTGGGCTGTCACAACAAAATACTGTAGACTAGGCGGCTTAAACAACAGAAATTAATTTTCTTATAGTTCTGGAGGCCAGGAAGGCTAAGATTAAGTGCCAGCCAATTGAGTTTCTGCTGAGGACCCTCTTTCTGTGGCCATCTTCTCATCGTGTTCTCATATGTCCTTCCCCAGGGTGACAATGGAGACAGAAAGATTTCTGTCATCTAAGGTCACCAGTTCTATCAGATTAGGACCTATTTTCAAGACCTCATTTAATCTTAATTATTTTCTAAAAGCCTAAAACCAAAAACAGTTACATTGAAGGTTAGGGCTTCAACATATGAATTTTATGGAGACACAATTAAGTCATTGTAAGGAAGTATCAAAATTGCCTAATTTCTTAGAATGCTGGTTCAGACCAACTCTATCCAGATTCCATAAAATGAAGGCTGTTCTGTAAGAGCTGAGTGAAAACCACAGTGATTCTCTTCAAAGAGAAACCAGAAGCAAGGGAAAGCTAGGCCTAGTCAGTTCTGCAGGGTCCTGGAACCACCATACTAACCCATTTTACTTTTACAGTGTTATCAACAGAAAGTAGGACAGAGCAAGCATTTATTTATTTATTTATACTTTTAATTGTTTAAAACAGTATAAAAACATTAGGGAACAAACCTTAAAATCTAAACTGGGTAAAGGGCTCAAAGAACCATTATGATGGTCAATCTTTTAACAATGGGATGAAGTGGTTTAGTATTATTCATGACTCAGAAATGGTCATTCTTGATAGAAAATAAATTTACCTTTAAAATCATTGAACAAAGTTATGAATAATTTAATGATATTAGAGTGATATTTACATGGGAATTTTTCCACTCAGATGAGAATGATATACTCTAAGCATTTATTTCATTTTTAAAATGAAGTTTGAAGAAAGGTAGAGTTAGGGATGGAAATGATACTTTGGTTAGCTTCAAAGTTCCTGAAAAAAATTGTCTAGCTCTGAAGATTAGTTGGGCAAAATATTTTTGACTACTGAAACTCTTAAATTTTAATGTTACAGAAAACTTTCAGTGGCTGAGAAGAGTAAAAGTTGCCATCTGAGGGGCAGATAAGATTGATTTAATAAGATTTATGAATGATTTGATGTCTAAATACCTTGAAAAAGTAAATAGTAATACACGAACAAAAAAGTTAAAGTTAAAAAAAACCACTGAATTCTTACTAAGCTCTTACTAAGAATTCTTAAAGTTTTTTCATTGATAGTTTGATAAATATTAGGAAAGAGTGATAATCATAACAGTTACAAGTTTCATTAGTTACAGCTAAAGGCCAGAGTGACTATTAAGCCAATCATTAAAGATCTACTTGTGAAAAGGAAGAAAAAGAAAGATGATAATCAGTGAACAAACTAAACAACAAACAAAATATTCTGTTGGTGTGAAATTACTGGAAATCCCAGAGAATCTCATTATCATTTGACATAAATTATCACTCACAAACTGATTAACAAAGAGCTGCTAAAATGAGCGTTTGTTTTCATTTGCAAACGAAATTAGAATTTAGTGAAAGGATGCTATAAAAACTCAGGATTAGAGAAGTAAGGAAAGTTTTCAAATACGAAAGCAGTGTTTTTAATCATTTGTATTTTATCGTGTAGGTGTGTCTATGTGTGTGTATGAGATAATTGCATAGATTATTTGGCGGTTAAAGAGCTTTGGTGTTTAATTACATTAGTTTTAGGAATTGAAGTGTGTTGTAAAGGTAGGTTGGTTAGGAATTGCTCTGGATTTTCTTAAAGTGATTGTTAGCACCCAGGATTCCAATTTCTTCATTAAAAATGAGGGGTTTAGACTAAGGTAATTTTCAAGATCTTTTAGGGACCACAGAGTCTGTGGTTACTCAACTACTTATTGTACTTCCTATTCCTTAACAGAGCCCTTGACTCTATTTCCCCTACAAACTTAATGAGAAACCATTAAAAGTACTGTTTAAGGGTTCTAGACGTATGTCTCCACCATACATAAAAGCAACGACGCTCCCAGGACATTTGTCTGTGAAAGCACAGCAAGGTCAGAATTGTCAGCTAAGTCCTTCAAGGCCTGCTGTGTCTGGTACGGTACCAGTCTGGCTCTTACCATCTCTATCTAATAATATATCTTTGAGTTTGGGTTTTGAAGCCACAATGCATAACTCTTTTTTTTAAACGGTGAAAGACAAGACTTTTCCTTACACTAAAGTAAAATGTGTTTTACCTTTTATTGTGTTGGCATTGGCCCAAATTAAATAATCTGGTAAAGTCATTAAAGGAATTTAAAAATTTAAGTTCTGTCCGTCATTGTTCCTTTTCTCTGAGTAAGCTTTACCACCTAAAAAAGCTTGTTTTTAAAAGAGTTCATTTGGGTTCAAAAAGCGTTGAGTGTTATATAGCCTTGTTGCTTAACTGTACATCTTGTCAAATGTTCTACTTTTTCCTGTGTAACCAAACTTCTTCCTTCCTCTTGAATCTTGAGTAAATGGTGATTAGTCAGTCATTCGCCATTTTCCTGGTCCAATACAGCTTCTCACAAACAAACTTAGAGGCATGATAAGGATATTTTTTCTTTAAACCATTATGACTTTTCTTTTGTATGCTAGCAGAAACACAGGACTAGAATTACATGGAAAATAATCATTCCAGGCCTAATGGAGATAACTTCTTGTCCATAGACCTGTGAGTGAATTGTGGATGAGAAATAGAATTATTCTCATCAAACTTACAAATTACAGTGTAATATTTCAACAATAATCTGTACCTGAATATGTCTAATTTATGTCTTCCAGGTTGTGACAGTAGAATCGATGATAAACTACTGTTGCCGGATAGATGGAAGGGTGTGGAATCAGTTTCATTGGATCCTAATTGTGTTCTAACTTTTTTTCCTGCAGCTATGTGGTATCGTGATCCTGGCATTAGCAATATGGGTACGAGTAAGCGATGATACTCAAGAGGTAAATGTGCAAAAACAGGTCACCCTTTCCCCAATGTAGTTTGTTTCTTTTATAATAATGAAAGTTATGATAATAATAGTAATAAACATGTCTAAAGTGTTTTTCTTGACTGCTTCATGTAATCACTTCTGCTGTTATGTGATTTTATAATTCAGTTCAATCAATCAAAATTACTATGTGACTGGCACTGTGCTAGGTGTGGAAAAATCCTTCTAGAGAATGAAGGAGGTGTTATTCAAAAAAATTCAATGAAATGCAGGTGGGAAGGGGCCAAAGTGGAAATTTTCCTCCTTTACTATTTGTTTAAGGCCAGCCAATGTAGAGCTTGAGGATACAGGCCACCTCTCCTTTTCACCAAGAAGAATAATTTTTATAATAGAAGGTATTGACAATAATTTAGTTGATTCCAAGGTGTTTGGTCCAAAAGGAAAGAAGATGAGAAGTTCTTTTGGAGAAGAAGAATTTGAATCTGTGTTTTAAAGGCAACAAAGCACAAGGATAGTTATTATTTACCTGTGGCAACTGACAGTGAAGGTAACCGCTTGCCACCAGTGGCTGATTGCGCTGGTGTAACTCTGTAATTAGCTGGGGATGTCCAGATCCTTGCTACCTGTATAAGATTAACATAACCCATTTTCCTCCCACACACACCATTTCGTGCCCCGTGGCAAAGCCCTTACCCAGATCTACACATCTGGAGGAAGTGTATTCTATATGGTTAATTCTGGCCTCAACTGTTGACTCCACATGTGTGGCATCTGTTCCATTCCACATTATCACAAATGTGGAAGGAATTGAGGGAAGGAGGAAGAGGGGAGTATGCAGGGGTTAAGCTGTCAGTTTTATGAAACATAATGCCACCATGGCATCATTTCCTGGCTCCCATGCTTTTATTCTTTTCTCTCCTCTCTTCTTTTCTGGGGCATCCCTCCCAGCAAATTCTTATTCTAACACATCCAGAGCCATTTATTTGTTCCTTGTTTTCTGGGCTCTTGCCACTGTTCAGGATCACCTCTTCTACTGCTAGAGCCTTTTTTAAGGTATTTGCCCACATAAAGAGAGTTTCTCCTCTCTGAGAAGAAATTTGATTCCAAGTTGATAATTACTGCGAGATTATTAAGCCAGCAATTAGGAAAATGCATTTTCTACTAAAACGTATTATGCCATGGTGCAGCTAAATACTTTTGAACACAGCCCAGTGGAAAGAAAGATGAAAAGGAAATTAATGTTTGCTCTGTTTTCTTGCTACAGTGGGTGGCTTTTCTGAAAATTTATTTCTCACTTCACATCTCTGGATGTTTTTCTCTCTCTCTCCTGTTGTTCTTTTCCTTTTAAAATTTGCTTTCTGTCCTTAGAGAGCCCAGGGAACCACAGTGGCAGTTAGCAGCTTTCACATTCTGTGCCTCACCATGGTGAAGAAATTCGGGGGGAGATGGTGTGGCAGCTTTTTAGTAACATCCTAGTCCATCAGGATTTCACTTATTGTTTTCTACTGATAGCTGTAACTGTGACTTCCTGACAGCCTGGAGTTCTGGTGTTTGAGACCAAGAAGAACATTTGAAGATGTGCAGAATTTTCATCCTGTAGAATCCTAAGTCTGACTTTGGGACTCATAATTAAGTCCAGAGATTAACCGTCACCTACTTACAGGGTGCTTTGGCATCTTCAAGATGTGTGTACAGCCTGCAATTTATTTTATTTTATTATTTTACTTCCCGTTGATATTTTCTTTCCCTCCCAGTGCTTCTGGCAAACAAATTTGGTGTTTAGTCTGTTAAAAAAATTGCACATATTGAATGTATTAAAGGGGAACTATTGTCCTTGAGAGGGTGCTACTCCACATCTGGGGATATGAATGAATTAATAGAGCTAGACAGCATCTTTAGTTACATTTTTACTCACGCTTCATCAGCCTTTCACCCTGAACAAAAGCCAGTGTCTGCCAGGACAACATTAACCAGCTTGACTTATATATATAAAATTGGCTTGATTTGTATTTATCTCAAGCCAGTGACAAAGAATCAAGAGTGAGCAAAGAACTGAATTTCTTGTTAGTGAAAAAACAGAGGTAGCTGTTTTGGAAGGAAAAACGTGAGCATAAACACGCAAAAGGAGGATGTCAGGGAAATGACATCTTTTTGCTGAAGTATCTCAGTATCTCATAGGGACCCTTTTTTCTACCTCAGGATAAACTTAGCACCATGAGGAAAAGCACATGGGCAGCCATCCTTGTCCCAGGAGGTCCTTCTGATCAAAGAGGATTCCTGAGTCCTCATCTTTCAGGCCCAGCCCAATTTCTCTGTCTTTTAAATTCTCCCATTGTCCTAAGACACACAGGGACACAGTGTTCGTTCCAGACAGCTTTTCAAACCCTCCTGTGTCTCCCCTGGTGCAAACATCTGAACTCAGATTTCCATTTCATTCTTGAATAAGAATAACCACTTGTTGGGCTGGCCTTGGAACAATGGCCACTAGACAGTCAACACACTGCTTTCTGGCTAGTCTCTGGCAGTAGGTTACCCTGCCCAGCCTAGCATCATAGAAGTATCTCACTACCTGCTGCACAAGTGCTGATCACGCTGTCTCGGCCTCACGTGTAGATATTTGAGCTATTATTTGTCTGGGATAGCTGTTCTAACTTCTGTTAACCCAGCTAGCGAGGTTTACATCCTCTTATAGGGTTTGCCTGTACTGGCCGCAGTATTCTAGTGAAGCGATATTTAGCAGTAAGTCCATAGTGCTGGTTTCCTAACACTGCTATTTGTGTCACATCTGTTTTGATTCCAATGTCATGCCTGTTTATTAACAAAACTGATTTTTCAGCTATGATATTAATAAGTAAACAATAACAAACAAACAAAAGCCCAATCAAATGAAAATCTTTAGGACATAACCAAGCTTTCAAACTAGGTAAATTGAAACATTATCTCTAAGCATAGACTTTTAGAGACAAAGGAGGCCTTAGCTATCCCAGAGATTGACTCAATCCCCTTTTATAAATGGGGAAACTGGAGCCCAATAGATTGGGTGACTGTTCCAGGATTACAAACTTATTTATTAGGACCCTGACAGAATACAGATATTTGTTTGAATGCTTTTATAACTTCAGCACACTCCTTCCTATTGATTGTTGAATAACAGTTTCCTCTAGGCAATAAGAGGATTTAAAAAGCCTTGAAAAACAAAAATATTGTTAGAGCAGTAGCAGTGACTTTTGTATTGACTATTAGGGGAGCTGATGTACATGTTATATAGCCCATTCTGGGAGGCAGAGGTTTTGAGTTAGTCTGGGAACTAGTGGTCTATCTAGAGACAGCCCAGTAGATAGAAGTGATAGAAGACAAATGGGCTACATATAGAGTTTATGCATAACACAGGCACAAGGCTTTATTTTTTCATTGTGATTTACTTCTGGATAAATCCACTTAGGGAGGACAAGAGGTAGACTGAGGCTAGGTGTTATGAGGGCGATGAAGACAAGTATGTGTGTGTTGTTGGGAGAACTGAATTATGCCTGATGTATAGCCCTCCCACTAAAAAGGGCCCTAGAATTTTTTTTTCCTTCATATCTCATTAACAGTAAAAATAAAGAGTTTCTAGATGATTCTATGGACTATGACTTTTGGGAACAAAGAGATAAAATTGATATGGAATATCAGGAACTGGATTTTTTTTTTAAATGGAAATACAAAGCATTTTTATTAGCCCATGGAAGTTCCCTCATGTCCCTTTTCAGTTAACTCTTGCTTTCCCTTCTGCCTTGCTCAAAGTCAAGCACTGCTTTGATTTTTATAACCATAGTTTTGCTTATTCTTGAACTTTATATAAATGGAATCAGAAAGTATTTACTTTCTTTCTGTGGCTTCTTTAGCGCAGCATAATGACTCTGAAATTCATTCACACTGTTGTGTCTATCAGTAAAGAACTTGAACTTTTTAAAGAATTAAAAACCATAACAACACATGCTTTATAATGCTAATATATGTAAAATATGCAAAATATGTGAACCAAAGATCACATCAAGAAGAGCAAAAGTAACTGTCCTAAGCTTTTTAAAATAGGGTTTAAAAAAAACTTATTATATTTCTTTCACCCAGCTTTCAACATATCATTTCAGAAAAATATAAGGTTGGAAACATTATTCAGGCAAGGAGCACTTCAGTGGAATGTAAGTTCCATGATGGTAAGGATTTGTACTTTTTAAGATCACTGATGTATTTCAGTGTCCTAGCACAGGAATTGACACATAGTAGGCACTCAATGGATATTTGTTGAATGAGCAAAATAAACTTCAAGGAAAGGAATTTTCTGCCATTAATCTCTTTTTTATTTTAGATTCTCAGCTCTGAAGATTTAGGCTCTAGCCCTTATGTTGCTGTAAACCTACTGATTGCTGTAGGTGCTGTCATCATGGTTCTGGGCTTCCTGGGGTGCTGTGGGGCTATAAGAGAAAGTCGCTGCATGCTTCTGTTGGTGAGTTCTCCAAACAATTCCCAATGTCCAACCTTGAGACTCCAGAGGATTCTCACCCATCTCTATTGTCTGTTAAAAGAACATGTCATGATTGGTGAAACTCTAACTGTAACTTTTCTTTAGAAGGTTTGATTGTGGAAGCTAATACGGCTTACATTTGGCTTGGTTTGGCTTAGAAACTGGAGGATACTCTGACAGGAGACAAATTTTAATGATTCATCCATTCATTCATTCATTCACTCATTCAACATTACTGCCATACCTCTATGTGCCAGATATTGTGCTAAATGATATATAAGACCTTTAGAACCTACTAGGGAAGATTAATAAGTAAGCAAATAGCTACAGTGGGAGTGGCCCCGGAAGCAAAGGGCAAGACAGGGGATGGGACTTTCAAGCCAGGGCAGAAATGAATAAGGTATTTGTATGAGTGAGGGTAGGAAGAGCTTTCTGGGAAGATGACCTGGCAGTATGGTGCTGGTGTGTTTGGGAACTGAGAAGCCTTGGGCATGGCAGGAGACCAGCAAAGACTGTTTCCAGTAAATGATGCAAGATGGATCCAAGTGTGGGTTGTGGTAAGATCATAGGGTGTTCTATATGTCATGCTAAAAAATGTTTAAAGGAATGAGATAATTAGAATTCTCTCTTAGATAGCATCAAGGAGGATAAATTAGGTTTGGATAATTCACAGGCATTTACTTTTAACATATACAGTAGAAAATGGATATAGTAAAAATGTTAGAAAAAAATCAAATGTTTATCAGATATAAATATGACATAGAAGTTTATCAGATCTAATCTAAACTTATTCCTCTAATAAAATAAGGATTATATCAGTACCCGAAAAAAATGTTTACAACTGTTTATTACAAGGGACGGTAAAGACAGAGTTTTGAAGAGACTCTAATAACATTCCTACTGATTGCTTTTTGATCAATAAGGCCTCATTTGCAATTGGTGAATTTAATTACTCAAGGAGCTTGTTTAAAAAAAATAATCATCTTTGAGCTGCATCCTTCAAAATTATGATTCAGTGCATCTGAGGCCGGTTTCAGGAATCTGTATATGTAACAAGATGCCAGATGATTCTGATAGTGGTGAAAACGCTGTTTCAAAGCCAGGTCTGAGTTTGTGTTAGTTTGTGTTTGATGAAGAAAGAGCAGGAAGAAAATAATATTCAGATAAACTCATCTAAGTTTTCAAACTTCCCTCTAGTCAGTAACGTACAGATACCAATAGTTGTTATGGTAATTTTTTTGTCTGAACCGCTTTCCTCAATCAATCTCTGAAACAAAGGTTTCTGAGTAGTAATGAACCAAAATTTTTCAGCTTGAAGTAAAAAGTGGAATAAATGAAGAGTGTGACTGACACTCTCACTGTGGTATGATCCGAGCTGTGGAGAGAAGTGCTGTGCCAAAATGTCCCCAGATGTTACTGAATGCACTGAGGATAATGTATCTTTCTTTCCCTCTTCTTCAGTTTTTCATAGGCTTGCTTGTGATCCTGCTACTGCAGGTGGCGGCAGGTATCCTAGGAGCTGCATTCAAACCTGAGGTGTGTGCACAGATGTTTGAAAATTTTGAAAAAGTCTGAAAAATGGAAATACTACCACGTGCATCAATAATGTAAAGTACTTTTCAATTTTCAGTATGATCGCATCTTGAATGAAACTCTCTATGAAAACAGAAAGCTTTTGAGTACCACAGATGGAAGTGGAAAAGAATTCCAACAAGTTATAATTGGCTTTCAAGAAGAGGTAATTAGAATTTGTTGTTCATTTTAGAGAGTTGGACATAATTTTTGTGTTTAATTTTTAACTCATATTTTTTAAAGATTGAAAAAAGTCTCCATTTTGCAGATTTTGATTGATTATTCTGTCACCATGCAATAAGAAAAATGTAAGAATGTTTTTAACTACTTTCTCACCTCATACAAAGTTCTGAAGCAGTTTTGAAAGACAGAAATTAAGAAGATACATTTATGACAGGTTAAGCCTTGATTGAGTTAAATCAATAATAGTTTTAATATTTTCCAGCTAAAAGGATAATGTGTCTGAGAATCACCTTTTTTTTTCTCTCTCTCCTTTTTTTTTTTTTTTTTTTTTTTGAGACAGAGTCTTACTCTGTTACCCAGACTGGAGTTCAGTGGTACATTCTCTGCTCACTGCAACCTCTGCCTCCCAGGTTCAAGTGATTTATCCTTCCTTAGCTTCCTGAGTAGCTGAGACTACAGGCATGTGCCACCACACCCAGCTCATTTCTGTATTTTTAGTAGAGATGGGGTTTCACCATGTCAGGTTGGTCTCGAACTACTGATCTCAAGTGATCCACCCGCCTTAGCCTCCCAAAGTGCTGGGATTACAGGGGTGAGTCACGGCACAGAACCTCTCTCTCTTCTTTTTAAAAAATAAGTGGGCCGGGTGCAGTGGCTCACACCTATAATCTCAGCACTTTGGGAGGCCGATGTGGGTGGATCATTTGAGGTCAGGGGTTTGAAACCAGCCTGACCAACATGGTGAAACCCCATCTCTACTAAAAATACAAAAATTAGCCGGGCGTGGTGGTGTGTGCCTGTAATCCGAGCTACTTGGGAGGCTGTAGCAGGAGAATCGCTTGATCCCCGGATGCAGAGGTTGCAGTGAGCCAAGATTGCACTACTACACTCAGGCCTGAGTGACAGAGCGAGACTCTGTCAGTATATATATATATATAAATTATTTTAAGGACAGGGTGTCACTCAGACTGGAGTGCAGTAGTATAATCATAGCTCACTGCAATTCTGCAATTTCGACCACCAGGGGCTCAAACAATCTTCCCACTTCAGCTTCCTGAGTAGCTGGGACCACAAGCACCCAACACCACACCTGACTACCTTTTTAAAAATTATTATTATTTTTGTAGAGACAAGGATCTCACTATATTGCCTAGACTGGTCTCCAACTCCTGATCTCAATGATCCTCCTGCCTTGGCCTCCCAAAGTGCTGGGATTACAAGCATGAGCAACCATGTCCAGCCTCTTTTTTTCTCATTCTAAGCCTCCACTGCTTCTCTGCCTCATAAAATAGTAATAGCTAACTTTAATTGCTACTATGTACAGTTTTTATATCATGTAGCTCATTTAATACCCACAACAACCCTACGAGATGGGTAATATCATTATCCTCATTAACCCCATTTTACAGATAAGAAGATTGGGATTTAGGGAGGTCTGACAGCTACCAAGTGATGGGGTTGGAATTTGCAAATTTGAACCCAGATCTGTCTGACCAGTCTATTATTTTTTTAAATCAGTACACTATCCTCTCATTTTTTTTTCTTTTCTTTAAAGTGAAAATTTGGGTAAGCATTGGAGGTCTTTTACTATCTGGCTCCTACTAAATCTTTTAACTTTACTAAGTACTGCTCCGTGAAGAGTAAACTCTAGTCCAGCCAGGTCTGTGTACTCAGGGTCACTTCCTTCCTTTGCACTCCTTGGAGTGCTCTTACTACTTTTTCTTTCTAATATATACTTAAAGTTTGACAAAAATGTTAGCTACTCTGTGGAATTCCTCCTAACCATGCCATTCTTATTTTGAATTCCTATCACATTGACTACTTGTAGTAGTATTCACTTCATGCATGTGATGGCAATTCACAGAATTTTAGGAGAGGCTTGAATTTTATAGGTCATTTACTCTGACTTCTCACTGATAAATATATTTTATATTTATGGTCATCTACCCTCAAATGAAATATTAGAGAGGTGAAAGTTTACTGATTTTTGCCCATCCTGCTTATATACAAGTCTGATGATTAGTATATTCTTTCTTAGTTTGAAACAAAATCTGCCTTCCTAGGATTTATATCATTTAGTACAAGTTTTTCCAGAGTTTCAGAGGAAAAAAATATTGATGCTCTTATACATGATAGATTTTTCTTTGAGAATGGCTGTTGTTCCACTCCTAAAATCCTTGCTTTTCAAGTGGAAACATCCTTGGTTTCTCAAACTGTTTATCAGATGACATTTTTTCCCCCAAGAACATTCACTAGTTCCTATTTGGATAGACTCTGGCTTGTAAAAATTCTGCTTAAAGCATCATTTCCAAAAGCTGAAACCTGATATGGGTCAGTCCCTGTTTTAACTTTCTTTCTGATGTGGTTTTCCTAGCTTCCCCATAGCTGTATTCTTTGATTCTCTCCTTTCCGGGATTATTCTTACTCTAGAGGCCAGCTTAAAACAGACTTGAAGCAGGAAGAATTTATGCAGCCTAAGTGCCTCTGCTGGGTGGGGCTGAGGATCCCAGACCCTTCCCAGGATGTTGACCCAGTACAAAATACACTAGAGGTAATCACTGAGTCTCTGGTTCAGGTCCTGAGCCATATTTGCTGCACATCTCCCCAGATTCAAGGTCTCCGTGCCAATCCTGGGTTTCTAAATGTTCTGTTTGTTATAGTACATTCTCCTGAAGTGCTCCTGCTCTTGTTCAGAAATCCTATACCTGAAGTTCCTTGTGTTCATAGGACTATATTTCTTCAAATGTCCATTATGAGTCTCCTTCTTCTCCTCCTTCTCCTTCTTTCCTTCTCCTTCTTCTTCCTCTCTTCCTCTTCCTTCTTCTTCTCTTTCTTCCTTTTCTTCTTCTCTTTCTTCCTTTTCTTCCTCTCCTCCTCCTCCTTCCCCCTTCTATTTTCTCCTTCTTCTTCTTCTTTTTCTTCCTCCTCCACTTCTTCTCCTCCTGGTCCCACTTCTCCCCCTTCTTCTTTCTTCTTCTCTTCCTTCCCCTCCCCCCTCTTCTTCCTCCCCTTTATCCTCCTCCTTCTCCCTTTCCTCCTCCTCTTCTTCCTTTTTCTTCTTCTCCTTTCTCCCTCCTCTTCCTGCTCCTCCTCTTCTCCTCTTCCTCCTCCCTCTTCCTGTTCTTCTTCCTCCTTCTTCTTCTCCACTATGCTTTTTATATGTGTATATATAGTTATGCTTCTTTGGGAAAAGAATCCTACCACCACAAACTCTGGCTGGATGACCTGGCCTGGAGTCCATAACGCATTGACAGAAGCTGCAGACACTGAATAGCTTTCGCTTTGGTTTTCAGGGATCTCCAACAGAAATTTCCTGTCAACATACTGGTGGAATGCACCCCTCTTGTATTCTTGCTCATGATTATTTGTCTAGAGGTGTTGTATCATTCCATGCATAGTACCCTTTTCATCCAGCTGTTTATACCACTTTCAGCAAGTCCTGACCAACTTCTTCCCTAACTGATCCTATCTCTGGTCTAGTGACCCAATATTGTGACAAGTTTTAACCTTCTTAACTTCTACCCTCTCATCTGTATGTCTCTATGACTCCCTAAAGAGTCCTGAGCTCTACCGTATTCCAAATATGAGTTGATCTGTGAGTGAGAATATAAATTTTATAGTGGAACTTAATTTACATTTGACAGAGGGTGTCTGTACTAATTAATACCACCCAAGATTATATAGTCAGAAAGAATAAACAATGAATCATGTCTACCATGGAAACAAGAAAGAAGGTTGTTTCAAGAGTACCCTCCTTGGTAGTACTGACCTTGAAACAAACTGAAATTTCCAGCTGTTCATATAAACATCTGTTGTGAGTAATGTTTTTGTGTAACTCAGTCTTTGGGCCCAAGTAAAAGACTTCATATCTGCCTCAGTTCAATTTGTTGGCTTATATCTGTTGTTTGAACTATTTTTGAAATTTGACTCTATTCTCCAGCATATTAATCATCACTCCTAGCTCTACGTCAACTACAGAATTGAAATTTATTCAATTCAGTGATTACAATGCTGAATAGATCATGTTCCTGTGAGAGCATAACAGAAACAACATCTACAGAAAACAATGAAAACAAAAACAGTAAAAGCAAATGCATTTTTGAGTGCTTTCTTCAAGCTGGGACTTCTTATCATTACATGGATTTTCTCATGTTTATCTTTATGATAAATCTGTAAATTAAATGCTATTATTAGCAACTGCTATTATCTGTATTTTACAGATGAACAAACTTTGGCACAGAGGTTTAACTAGCATGGGTAATAAACATGATCACTGCCCAGGAAATGAAAATTCTTTCAATGTCTTAGCATTGCAATGTATCTGAGCTGGGAAAATAACTCATTCTTGGCTCTGTTTTATAGAGTTGTATTTTTGCCCCCATTTCTACACAAAGTGTTTTCCCCTTTATAGAGCAGATGGAAGCAAGATGGGAATAATTATCTATCTCCCATCTAATAATATTATGTGCTACATGCCCTGATTCTTGGGGTTATCACTTCCGGTTTTCCTTCCTCAAACATGGCTACAAAACCTCTTTCCTCTCTTTTTAGTGTTTTTCCATGGATCAGTTTATTCTGGGGCTGTAACTTGGCTGATATTATTCTGAGATCTTACTTATTCATGTTCCCACCCATATTTTAAAAATGTTCATGAAATTCAAGCTTATGGGAGGCTCCTTGAGCATCTATTTTGGTCTTTGAAATACCTGCCATCTTTTTCCTCCTCTCTTTCAAAAGTGATCAGAGATCATGGAGTAGAAATTTCACTTTTAAAACTTCATGTGTCTTTTGAGCAACAATTCTTTAAGGAAATGTATTTCACTCTCTTGTGAATTCTTTGGAAACTTCTTTGACAATGTCTAAGTTACGCAGATCTGACTTGGCCCTTCTCTTCTGTCCTTAAAAACTATAGGTGACTTTTTCATCTTCCCAACTTCTTCAGATTTTTGAATCTGCAACTGCATTTTTCCATCATTGATGTAAAGATCAAATGAAAAAATCCTTAATTTTTTCTTCTACATTTAGAAAGGTGAAAGGTGACTTACATGGTATTTCAGCACAATAACAGTTTTAATAATGATTTCAGAAATTTCTAATTTAACATATTGCCAATGTTTTTAGTTTTCTTACTGACCGCTTTTCATTCTACCTTTTATCAAACAGTTTAAATGCTGTGGTTTGGTAAATGGAGCTGCGGATTGGGGAAATAATTTTCAACAATACCCCAAATTATGTGAATGTCAAGATGCACAGGAGCAATGCACCAATTATGATGGAAAACTTGTTTACAAAGAGGTGAGAACTAAATCACATTTGGTACAATAAGTAACTTTGTTACTTTATTTTCACAATGAAAGTCTCTACGAAAAATTAAATTTCATCAAGTACAATGGGAATCATGACATAAAAATCTCAGGAATTTCCCAAATTAAAAAAAAATCCTTATTTAACGATCAAAGCAGATAGACTTCATTTCTTCTATGAGTCTGGCATCATTTAAGCCCAAACTTAATAGGTCAAAGAAACATTCTACTGCAATGGGAGGCAAAGTACAAATTAACATAAAAGTTTATTTTGGGCTGGGCATGGTGGTTCACACCTGTAATCCCAGCACTTTGGGAGGCCAAGGCGGGCAGATCACCTGAGGTCAGGAGTTTGAGACCAGGCTGACCAACATGGAGAAAGCCTGTCTCTACTAAAAACACAAAATTAACCTGGAATGGTGACGCATGCCTGTAATCCCAGCTACTGGGGAGGCTGAGGCAGGAGAATCACTTGAACCCAGGAGATGGAGGTTGCAGTGAGCAGAGATCATGCCATTATACTCCAGCCTGAGGAGCAAGAGAGAAACTCCATCTCAAAAAAAAAAAAGTTTGTTTTGTCCTCTCTTTGGTGATTTTAATCATTAGTCTCCTTTATTTTTTCTACTTTAACGTAAGTTTTAGAAACCAGTATTTTCACTTTCATTTTCAAAGTCAATTTTTTTTGTTGTTTTCTAATCAGAGTTTCCTTTTCTCAAGAAATGAGGTTTCTTCTTTCTCAAGATTTAAAGAAAGGACTCCAAGTCCTTCCCAATACATTTAAGGGTTTAGCTTCTGTATGTTATTGATAGCTACCAATTTACCAGTTATTGCTGCAACTGAGAAGTTACCTCGAACATTTAATGTCAATTGAAAAAGATACGTTAATCTTTTATGTGTTGTAGTTGTCAAATTTATGTGACTTGTGAATGTTAATATGTGGATGTCCTAGTTCTTAATGATCAATTCATCAAATACTTATTGACCACCTCCTATGTGCCAAGCCTACCAGTCACTGGAAATCCATTCCTGAACACAGTACAATGTTTACACTCATGGAGCTGATGCTCAACTAAGAAAGAGAGAAAGATAATTAGGCAACTTCCATCCAATGGTCTACTGGTATTTTTTGGATAGGGATGGGTGCAAGCTGTTATGGAACCCCATCTAACTTAGTCTGTGAGGTTCAGTGTATGGCTTCATGAAGAACATGACATCTGTCCCTTCTTAAGCTGTTCCTTCTGCTTAGAAGAAATGTGTACAAAAATTACAGTTGATATTAGTGTTTCATTTATTTGCTGTTATTCTTCAGTGCCTACTGCATGTCAGACAGACCATTGCTAGGCTCAGAAATGCTTCTGGTTCCTCTAGGAGATTATAATCTAGTTGAGAGGCAGATACATGAAAAAACCATTGTAAATCACAATGAATTAATATTAATATCTGTAATACCCAAAGATTATTTTTAATCTAGAATTGTTTTGGTTTAGTAACTGATACTGAGATTAATTTATAAAATATCTCAGAGGAAACTTCCCTCTCCCTACTGATTTTTTTCACTGATCTTATCAAAATTAAAGAGGCTCTGCCCTGAAGGAGAATTGCTGTTATTAATACTTAATGTATGTCACTAATATTTAAAGTAACTCAAGAAGTAATCTACCAGACTACAGTGTTACTGTGTTTTTCATTGTCGAAGTAATATTACTAAAAAAAGTTGGATTCTTACTTTTACATTCTCCTTGCTCCCCTCCTCACTCCCTAATGTTAGTGACACAATATTTACAGGGAAAAGGGGAAATAAACATGTTGTAAATGAACATAGTTTCCACTTAGGATAATGAGGAAATCAGTAAATTCAATTGCAGATTGCTATTTGTCTCCTGTTCAAATTCAACTCAAAGATATTTTTCCTCAAGACAGATTCTGAAAAGCCCCTGGAATTATGCTAAAAAAAGCTACTAGGCATTTTCTTTAGGTTCACACATAATTCAGCTGAATATAGGCTGATAGCTACACCAGTTTCCTAAAAGGAAGTTTTTAAATTCATAAAATACTTCCATCTGCCATGTGTCATTTGCAAGAAATCTGGTAAAATAAGAAATCTGGAATGGCCATAATTCACATTTCTTTTTCTTCTCTTCCTTTTGCCAAGATAACCTCATTATCTTAGGGAAGAGGAAGAGAAAAATCCCTGAAACATAATGAATGTAATTCAGTACATATAATCATTAACCTCATTGTTAACTCTAAATGACATAATGATTTCCTTGAATGTTTACCACTTTGGATTCAATGTGAACGGAGAAACTCATTAGATTCAGGAATGAAGAGGAAAGATCATTTAGCCTTCTGGAGGACTTTTATGTTATTTAACAAATAGCAATATTTTGTTAGCCCTTTGTACATATATGACCATCAGAGGGAAATATATTTTAAGGCAGTACAAAAATAACACTATTATATTGTGTAGTCTTTTTTCATTTAAAAAATTCTTCCAATAATTTACAATTCTTGAAGTTATAATGCATGCTGGAATGAATACATTTCAAAAATGTAGCAGAGAGTCAACTTCCTAAATCCTCTTTTTTTTTTTAATCTAAAGTAATGGCATAATGGTAGACATGGTAATTTTTTTCTTTTTAAGATAAAAGTAACCCTGATAAATATTAAGGGACTTTGAAAGCATCCTGTTTTGTCCAGCAACGATGACCTCACACCTGTTATCCCAGCATTTCACAGGCTGAGACAGGTGGATTGCTTGAGCCCAAGAGTTCAAGATAAGCCTGGGCAACATGGCAAAATGCTGTCTCTATGAAACACAACAAAAATTAGCCAGGCATGGTGGCACATGCTTGCAGTTCACCTCCCTGGGAGGCTAAGGTAGGAGGATCACTGGAGCCCAGGAAGTCAAGGCTGCAGTGACCCAAGATTGCACCTCTGCACTTCAGCTTGGGGGCTGGAGGGAGACCCTTTCCCAAAGGAAAAAAAAAAAAGAAAGAAAATACCTTGTTTTAAAAATAAAAGTTTGTAACATTATTATCTAAAACCTCAATCAGGAATCTCTCTGTTGTAGATTACAAACCTAAAAAATCCATAATCAAGGTGGTATCAGCTCTAAAATGAGTGAAGTTAAGATAAAATTATTTATACTTTTATGTTATAAAATGTATAGCTTTATCGACTATAAAATTTATAGTATAAATATAAAATCTATCACTTGAGGATATGTTGGTGAAAAATCATTATTTATAATTATTAATCCCTAGAATCAACAATTAGGCAGTCAAGCAAAATTTTGTTCCTCAAATGCTTTTTAATGTATAAACAAACCACAACAGTTACAACCTTTTGAAGCAAAGGCGAAGCAGGGAGTGAAAGAAATAACCCAGTTCTTTGCTGTTCAGTGTGTTTCTTGATAGCAATGTAAAAATTCAACCAGATGAATAAAAATTTTGATTAATATAAGGTCCAATTTTTCTGAGAAGTAACTTTTTACGTTTTGTTTTTTAACAGCCCTGTATTTCTTTCATAAAAAACCTATTGGCAAAAAATGTGATTATAGTTATTGGAATAGCATTTGGACTGGCAGTTGTTGAGGTACAGTATAATCTTGTATTATTGACTCTTCATTTACTCCCTTGCTTGCTCATTAATTCTAACAAATATTGATGGTGAACAAATAAACAACAAAAAACACAACAGCCATAAAAAAAAAATCAGATGCTTTAGAAAATCACTGGGTAATAAAGGCCCATCATCTACCTCATTTAGCTGGAGTCTGAGGAGGAGATTACAGTCTTGTGAACTGTGAGCATGGCTGAGACTCTTGACCTCTCTATTGGGAAAAAGATAGAATTAATTTTCACATAGTTCTTAGTGACAGATATCCTTTTCTCATTGAAAACTAGTACAGGGGTTAAAATTTTCCTAAGATACAAGAAAAAGTACCAAATAAAGCAAAATTTGATGATTACAATTTCGTATTCTGATTTTGAAACAGAAAGTAAAAATTCAATTAAAAACGTGAAGAGCTGTTTCCTGGTAACTTACTGCATTTTAGAGAAATCTAACAAGTCCTAAATAGTCAAGGCAATTGCCTCTCATTTCCTCAGCTTAAGAACTATGTACTATTAACTCACTTGAACAAATTTTCAAGGAAAATTGAGGCTTATGTCTTACTTTCATGACTTTAATTATTGATGTTGGAAAAATATCCTGCATAGGATTTTTGTCTTGATGAACTTTCCTCGAATTAAGAAAAAAAAAAAAAACCTGAAAGACACTTTTCACATGGCCTAAAACTCTTTGCCAAGAACGTGAATTAAAACTGCTTCAGAGAAGCATTTTGGAATCATCCCAAATCTTGGGTAATTTTGATATCCAGTGGATTAAATTCACTCAATCCTATTCCAAGACATTAGCAAGAATTTTAATAATGTGAGGTATCTCCCGGGTTAATGCCTGTGAGAGCTGGTTAGCTCAGCTGAGTGACTTGTGCTTCACCCTCATGGAATGCTGTGCAAGGTACTCCTTGGGCTTTCTGGTAGCTTTCTTCCTCTTACTCATGCCACATCACTGCTAGAAAGAAATTTTAACTGAGAATGAAGCAATTTAGTGTTCTAAGTGGTTCTTTCGGATGCTGGTGGAATTTCCCAGGCAACTATTAGAGAAAGGTTAGGGGCTATTAGCAGCAAATTGAACTGTTGAGTATTACTTTCTTATAGTCCAGATGAATAGTTCTAAATATGAAGCATTCTTTGTTGGTAGGTTATGGCCATCTTTCTTTAGATCTGATATACATTGAAAGTCAAATGGTGCTATGGACTAGGTCTATTTCTCTTGATTCTGCAGTTTGTAAGATGTCTTTTGTTTCTCCACTTTGTATTCTGGGTTTATGCTAATTTATAAATAGGACTAATGGCCATGAAAATGAGTAATAAATCATGTATATATATGTATTTACACACAAACACCTACACACACACACACACACACACACACGTAATACATAAAACACATTTTATAAAGTTTGAATGATTGAGAGAGCATGCTTCAAATGAGATATTTAATATGAGTTATATTTCAGAAGTTAGACCCAAGTTCTGACAATTGACTATCACTAGCTCAAATCACAGATGCTCCTCAATTAGCAAAACCAGAAAAAGTAAGGACATACTTGATTGAGGAGACTGAAGAAATCTTTTGTGTCATAATCAAAGGCATTTTCAAGAATTTAAATACATCTAGTGGAAAATAAGATTATAAAAAGATTAATGCATTTCAGTATTTTATGAAATTGGTATATTCCATGTATTAATTACATGTTTAAATATTTTATTGGCTCTTCTAAAGACATATTCAGATAAATTGCTTAATAAAAACATTCTATACAGTAATTTATAAGTATGGAGTTTTTGTGGTGCTATCATAAAATATAACCGGTTTTTTAATTAGGCCAGTCAAATTTGATGTGATTTCTAGACTATATGCAGATATGGTAAATAGTTGGTTCAAATAACTGTTTGAACTTTTAAAAATTGTCACGCAGTTCCTCAATCTAAAACCTTCCCTCCCTCTAAGGTTTGAAGGGAAACAAATCATTTTATATTCCATCTTTTTTTATTCAAAAAGGAAATTCAAAAAGTCCTCTGGTACCCAGTCTATAAATTATGTATCCAAAAAATGCACTTTATAGTTCGTCTTACAATCATTAGTACAAGGTGCCTACTGCCCTATGACTTAGGCCTCTTTTCTCTGTTTCCTAATTTCAAATTCAAAAAAACACAAAGACACAGAGATAGAAAATCTCTTCTAAAAAATACTTTTGAGAAAACAGAAGCAAATATCTTCCTGCAGAAAATATGTTCATATTATCTCCACGGAAAAGTGTCATATAACAAAAGACTCTCCCACATTTTGACCTTCGGCATTAGTATGTTTAGGCATAGGTTTTAGTGAGGTGGGCCAATATTTGTTTTCAAGACTCTGTTAAGTCTATATACCTAAGGGATTCCTGTCACATTGGATGCTAAAAATTATGCAAAATACCTTATTCTGCAAGAAAAATTTATGTATAGACATGTTTGGAATTCTCATTATTCTAGCTTAAAACAAGACTATTATATCTCTCCTCATTTGACTATAGCAACTTACAAGCACAAAAAATGATCAGCACTTTCCTCGCTTTAATTTAAAAAAAAAAAAAAAAGCTACACACTGAGAGCCATCACTTTGTAGGACAAAAGTTATCCTGACAAGAGGTCCTAGAAATAAACCAGTTAAAACAAAAATGATAATTTTACAATTTTTTTAGACTGCTGCATACCTCTTAGCAAATTTATCATGAGTCTTGGCATACATTATAAAATGATGAATCTCTTTTAATTATGTGCTATTTTTCAGAACAATGATAAATGTTCTTTCCATGGACAATGAAATGCAAGAAAGTGTGATATTAACTGTCTAGTCTGCTGATAAATGGTGGACTCCTATTTCAAGGATGTAGCAGTGAAAGTTGTCTTATTCCATTATTTTTTCCCATTAAAAAAAGTTCATTCTTGATACTTGTCCCACAGACTTAAGGCTCAGGATCAAGGCAAAAAGACTAAATTTCAGTCTTGAATTGTAGAACATTTTGAATGGAAATTATTGCTTTTGCAGAAAATTGTTGTCAACCTTTTTAAGAAAAAAGAAATAATGGTTATTTATATTTCCAGGAAAGTGTTAGTAAGCAGAAAGTCTTAACACAGTAGAAGCATTTGAGTTGACTCAGCATAAATGGCACTTTGCCCCCCTCCATCCTCCCTTCAAAGGGGGCTGGTGGGGGAGGAAAGTTTCTATTGGTAATGCACACGGGTCCTGTCTGCCATTTCTACGTTAAAGACATAGCGTGTGAGTCACCAGCTGTACACCCAATTAGAGCAAATTTTGGGGTCCCTCATTCTTGGGAGAGCTACTTAATGTGGTGGAAATTATGACCCAGATTTTCAGCTGTGCTTTTTCACTTCAAAGGAAATTCCTGATTTAAGCTATTCCCCATAGTTTAGAAGCTTTTTGAAAAAAAGTTACTTCATTTTTTATTCCTCTTGGAAATGCCTAAAACTACAGCAAAAGAAATTCTAGACTCCTTGATTTTTATGCAGATGATTTAAACCAGATGATCATAACTTTTTTATGGAAGCAGTACATATATTTAGCCCCCAGGGACCTGAGATGCCCAGTGCTCTTAGGAGACGCTCTACAGAAGAATGTGTGTGTTCCCAAAAAGGGAGTGGGTCCTCTGGTGGCAGCTGCTACTGTGCAGTTATATATGGCCAGTTAAGTAGAGGCTAGCTAAAAATTGCTGATTAAAACACAAAAAAACTTGGAGAGCTTTTGCAGTGCTCTTTTGTCCCATGGAACCTCTAATTTCCCAAGGAAGATGACTTAGATAAGATTGAAACTGTCAGTATAGACAATCTTTTCAAATATGATGTTCTCTGTGTTTATTTGTAATATGTCCAGTGTTTTCCCTTAAATTCCATCTTAATCCTGTTATTTTATTCTCTAGATACTTGGTTTGGTGTTTTCTATGGTCCTGTATTGCCAGATTGGGAGCAAATGAATCTGTGGACGTGTCAAGCTATCGTCAGTCAAACCCCTTTAAAATTTTGCTTTGGCTTTGTAACTTTAAATATATAAGTTCTATGTACACCAGGATCAGCTGTGTTTTTAAAATATCTCAGCTAGCTAGACCACAGATAACTTCTAGACATATTGAACATATTTAAAGTTTGAATGACACGAGGGAAATGATATGAATGTGTATTTTTACTCAAAATAAAAGTAACTGTTTACATTGGTGCTTTTCTGTCTGATCATTGTGTTCAGGTGGTACTGTGCTTAAAATGTTCTTCTGGAGCCACCCAGTGGAATAATCATCTCTAAGTTGACAGGGCCATAGATAGTTAAGACAGAGGATCTGGAGTTTTTTTCAGAAATGACACTCTTGTGTGTGATGTATCAATCATTGGTGATACAATTGAATCAAGCCTGATGTTAAAATTGACAGTGATCCAGCTAAAAGAGTCACCATCTTGTTTCTATTTAGGTCAGAACTATTAATAGTGTCTCTATTTTGCTGCATATCTATTGTGGGAACAAATAGGTCTGAGTGTCCACCTCCCAGCCATTGCTTCTCTGATACCTGTCTGGATCTTCCTCTCAGACACAACAGTTATAACTTCTTTTTCTTCCTAGTTCTCAGAAATATTTAAAATTTTTGATTTCTATAAAAGTATAATATACAGACAATATAGTTGATAATTCATAATATGTAGCTCTGTGAATATGTGTACATCTATGTAAGCACTAAGATCAGAGTTGGGCACAGTGACTTATGCCTGTAAGCTCAGCTACTTGGGAAGCTGAGACAGTGGGGTCTCTTGACCCCAGGAGGTCGAGACCAGCCTGAATAACAAAACGAGACCCCCATCTCCAAAAAAGGAGAAAAAATACAGAACATTTCCTGCACACCAGAATTCTCCTTCATGCCGCCTCTCAGTTGTGCGCTGTATTTGGCTCACACCAACTTGCTGAGCAGATTGCACATGTACACGTCTCTTTCCAACTTTGTGTTCGGTAACATCACATTGGTAGCTTTAAATCTACCATGCTGGGAGTATGTATGCTATTAGAAACTGATAAATGCTGTAAATTCAGGATTCAGGGCTTTTTCTTTTCTTTTCT